TTTGCGATATGTGGGCCTCTCACTGTCGTGGCCTCTCCCGTTGCCGGATGCGCAAGCTCAGCGCCCATGGCCCACGGGCCCAGCCGCTCCGCGGCACGTGGGATCCCCCCGGACCGGGGCACGAACCCGTATCCCCTGCATCGGCAGGCGGACTCTCAACCACTGCGCCACCAGGGAGGCCCATTCCTTCCTATTTTAAGCACTACAAAGGATCCCAGTGCTTATGATAAAGTACAGTGATCTTAATCTGGCCAATGCAATCCTGCCTTCCTCTGCTACTTCAGTTCTCCCCATTGTCCTGCCTCCTACCCCATGTTGCAAACATTCCAACCTTCTTAAAGTTTCCCAAACATAGTGTGCTCTACCCCATCTATGAACCTGCAAACATGCTTTCCTCCACTCTTCATCCAGCTGATACTCAACCAAAATGCTCAGCTTCAGTGAGTTTCTTGGTCTAGTGCCCCTCCCTATTCAGTCCTGCCCTAGCACTTAGCCTGCTTAAATGCCCTTCTGCCCTCTAGACCCTAAGTAAACAAGAGCAATAATCATGTCTATCTTATTCTACATTATGTCCCACACTTCCAGCAAGTTCTGAGCAGTCAGAACTAACAGGCACTCATTCCATATTTGTTTAATCAGTAACTCATACCAAATGTTAGTTCTTTAATGAAACATTCCCAAGAGCCCTTCACTGGAAGAGATGGCTTCCTCTTTGGGCTTCCACTGAAAGGGATCACTCCCTCTTTGGGCCTCTATAGATTTTAACTCCACATCTATTACAGATTTATCACCTTCTACCTTTAATGTAGCTATGTAATTTCTCTCTATTACTGAACATGTTTCCTCTTAAGTGCAGAATCCATGTCCAGTTCACCTTTGTATTTTCCCTAGATCATCATACACAGAGCTTTATGTATACTCAGACTCCAATAATTTTATTTAATTAATGAATGAATTAATAGGGCTTAAATATTATATTTCAGAATTTCTAAATAGGTCAGTGTATAGGGCACATATGCTTTGAGGTAGGAAATGATGGGTGATAAATCCCAATAGGTAAGTTGAGGCAAGATGGTAGGGGATCTACTTTGCTCAACTAAGACTTAATAATTTGGAAACTGGAGTTTGTTTGTTTGTTTTTTTTTTTTGGAAACTGGAGATTTTTGGAGGATATCTAAACCAAGGAGATTTTGGAGGATATTATCACAGCTGAATACTTGGGAGATTAATCTGTCCTTAAGATAAATCTTGTGGTACAGAAATGGAGTGCTGTCCTGCATTTATCCCTAGAGTGTGGTAATAGAGGAAGTGAATCTTGGTACTGGTGAGGATTCAGCTCTGTCTTTTAGGTCTTGGGGGAAAAAATTGGGTATAGAAGACAATTATTAGGCATACTATTTTGGCACCTGTTCTTAGTATTTCCTCTGGTTTTAACTCTGATAAATTGTTCCAGTGTACTCTCAAATTATTCAGAATCCATAGAGATAGCTATAGTAGAAATAAATTTCAAAGTTAATCCCTAATTTGTTTTCCAACAGGTTCTCTGACTCTGAGAACACATCATGTTCAAGACTCCAAAATGGGATTTGTGATCAATGCGATCTATTCCATGGCCTATGGGCTCCACAACATGCAGATGTCCCTCTGTCCAGGATATGCAGGCCTCTGTGACGCCATGAAGCCAATCGATGGACGGAAGCTTTTGGACTCCCTGATGAAAACCAATTTTACCGGGGTTTCTGGAGATATGATCCTATTTGATGAGAATGGAGACTCTCCAGGAAGGTATTGTCACAATTCACCTCTAGACAATAGAGCCTGATCAAGCTCTCTCTTGATCCTCAGGAGCCCGTTTCTCTCCTTTGTGGTTATCTAGGCTTCCTGGCCATGCCTGGCTAGTTCTGATATCACAAAGTGAGTAAAGACAGAGAGGGGAAGCCCCATTTCCTGTGGCCAGGAAAAAATATTAATGCTGATGTCTAAAACGTGCTCTTGGAATCATCACATTTCAGAGACTCAAACTTAGAGGCAGGAGCCTCACATTATCATAGATAATTAAAAGCCGGCTCTATGGTTTCCCTGTACATGTTTGCCATGTTATTCCATGTATTCTGATCTCTTCTTAGGCCACAGAACTATTCTGAAACAGGAACAATTCCATTTCTGGTAATCCAGAAATAGGGCTGAGGTGTTATTATATTGTTTGCTGTACCTACAGTAAGTTACGAGTCATTTTATTTTAGTATCCTCCAGCTGGAACACTTTCTCCCTTCTTGAGGACTAAATTGCCTTTCTCTCTGAAATTTTACCTTTCATTATTTATAGAGAGGAACTTGAGAAATATGAACTTACTCATAGTTATAGGTCAGCCTCCAGGGAAGTCATTAAGTACCTAGAACTTACCAGTATTCACATCTATCTCCGACTCTAAATTCTTTTTTTTTGCCTTCTTTGTGTGTTTATTTATCAGCACGTGTTTCTTATCACAGTCCTTTCGAATAATAAGAGCTAATGTTTGTCTGACACTGCTTATGTGATAGACCCTATTCCAGCTGGTCTAAAAGTATTACCTCATATCATCCTCACAACAAATCCTTGAGGCAGGCGCTTCCCTGGTCCCCATTTGATGGCCAAGGAGACAGATGCTTTGGAGAGGAAGGATTTTGACTGAGGAAGTCACTGCATCTTTGGCAACAGCTGTGATGTGTTCAACACCAAAGTCCAGACTCTAAATTCTTAAGTGACTCTTCACATGAGACTTTTAATCCATGAGGGATAACGTCATTGAAATGATATTCTGACTTGTAGCAGGGCTGGGTCTTTAATCCGCCCTGCATTAGGACAATCAGGGTCCTTTGGTCGCCTGCTGTAAAATCCCTGGTATTTTTCCAGCAACAGCTTTTGCTTGACAGGTGTGCTTGGAGAGGGTGTGTTTACACTCTTTTTGCAGCTGATTCTGCCAAGAGAAGGTCCCATGAGTCCCTCCCATGACTCACATGCCATGTGCCCACACGTTGTACCAGCCACCTTGGTCTAGCTTGTTTCCATATTCCTGATGTGAACTGGAGTTTGTCCCTGATGCAGCTGTTACTGTCTCACGAGCCAAACTTTTTAAGTGACAGCAGTTCCAAGTCATGCAGCCAAGAGGAAAGATGGATATTTTCTCTATTTTAGAGAGTTGAAGAGTATTGCTCCAAGCAAGCTGTTTGTCAAGATAAGATTTTTCAAATATTGTTTTCTACTTTTTGGCTATTCAGTACATTCATGGGAGTGGGGGCAGGAATACAAGCATTTTCCCAGGGCCATAGGGCACTTCACATTTGTTGTAAGACTTCTTAGGGCAGGTCAATGAATGAGCTCAGTCTTTAGGCTCAGGTCAAAGCCTAGGCTCTGATATCTTCACATGGATTTATTATTCCTGTGTGCACCCCTACATCACTGACATCACCTTGGGATTTGTTCATAGACTTTGTTGACTGCAGTTCCATCGGTTCAAACGGTTTTCATGTCATGTACCCAAGCCAGTTCCACAAACCAGACAGTGAAGAAATGGCTCAGCTCTATTCCTCTATTAAGGGAAACCTTAATAGATCAGAACATCACTATCTCATTCACAATCCTCCAAATATGCTGGAATGGGGTACATTTAGGACATTGGTTCTTAACCATTGGGGGAACATGAATCTCTTTAAGTTAAATGAAATTTATAGATATTCCCTCAAGGACAATATCCATAAAATTCTGCAAACAATTTCGGGAAACTCACAGTTATTTAGAGACTTTTCATGCATTACTAAGGCTGGGTATTACATTAACCCACTAATAAATGATCAGAATCTGCCTCTGAGGGCATAAGCCAAACTCAGGAAAAGGTGCTTTGCAACTTTTCTGTTTTTCCAATTAATCCAGTTATAGTTACAAAATAATTATAACTAATATTTGCCATGTGTTTTCTTAGCCAAGTACTTAGCTAAATCCTCTATATTTTAATCCTATGAGGTAAGTAATATTATCATGTTCTTTTCTAGCCAAAGGCTCACAACTGAGGATTACAAAGATGAAATGACATGCCCAAAGACAGTCTAATACATGAAAGAGTCAAGATTCTAACTCAGTCTTGTGGGCTTCAATTCCTGACCCTGTACAACAGACTGCCAATTACAGTATCAAAATCAAAACAGCACTATTCTCCTAGAAATGTATTTGTAGGCACTACGTTGTTATTGCTCTGGAGTAGAAGTTGCACCTCAGCTGGATCAAAGACATTCCAACCTGGGCAATGAACCAGAGGAGACTAGGGTGATTAGGGGTTCCCCTAAAATGCCAGAGTCACAAGAAGAAGATCCTAAAGAGAGGAAGCTGGGAGAGGTGACAACTCACTCTGGCACACATACCTCTGGATAGTTAGAGAGTCAAATTTAATCACTGTTTTTAAGCCTCACATAATCAGACTACTATCAGTACATACATCTTTAACGAAACCCTTGGGTCAAGTGTTTTACAGAATTCTAATTTTTTTTTTTTTTTTTTTTTTTTTACTGTAATGAGCTTTTTGTTTTTTAACATCTTTATTGGAGTGTAATTGCTTTACAATGGTGTGTTAGTTTCTGCTTTATAACAAAGTGAATCAGCTATATGCATACATATATATCGATGTCCCCTCCCTCTTGCGTCTCCCTCCCACCCTCCATATCCCACCCCTCTAGATACTCACAAAGCACTGAGCTGATCTCCCTGTGCTATGCGGCTGCTTCCCACTAGCTAGCTATTTTACACTTGGTAGTGTATATATGTCCATGCCACTCTCTCACTTCGTCCCAGCTTACCCTTCCCTGTCCCCGTGTCAAGTCCATTCTCTACGTCTGCCTCTTTATTCCTGTCCTGCCCGTAGGTTCTTCAGAACCTTTTTTTTTTTTTTTTTGAGATTCCATATATATAGTGTTAGCATACGGTATTTGTTTATCTCTTTCTGACTTACTTCACTCTGTATGACAGACTCTATCTAGGTCCATCCACCTCACTACAAGTAACTCAATTTCGTTTCTTTTTATGGCTAATATTCCATTGTATGTATGTGCCACATCTTCTTTACCCATTCATCTGTCGATGGACACTTAGGTGGCTTCCATGTCCTGGCTATTGTAAATAGAGCTGCAATTCTGAATTTTTGATTTTCCAGAAGTCATACAATGCCTCCTGCATGCCGTGGAGCACACTTCTTAAACAACGCATTAATATTTCTACAGCAAAATGTGAATATTCATAGGAAGTGTGATAAATAGAGTATAAATAGTCTCATGACAGTGTGGATCAAGTTCTGTCACTAGATAAGTTGAGAATGGGTCATGTTTTGCTGCCAAGTGAGTTATGAAAAAACTTATGGTTTTCAGAGCTCTAAGGATTTCAGGAATTATAGATAAGAAATATGGACCTTTACTGTTTGCCATCAAGGGGACAGACCACAGGTTGGCAAGCTATGATCTACAGGCCAAATCGGGTCTGCTATCTGTTTTGGTAAATAAGGTTTTACTGGAACACAGTCTCTCTCATTTATTTAGAGACTATCTGTAGCTATGTCATGCTACACTCACAGTGTTGAGTAGTTTCAACAGAGGCCTAAAATATTTACTGTCTGTCCCTTTATAGCAAAAGTTTTCTGACCCCCAATAGATATACAGAGAATCCACTGACAACTAAGGTTTAACAAGCCTAGCTGTTGCCTAGGACTGACCATAAATGGGCAGAGGAAACGTGGAGAGTCAACATCAGCCTAAGTACAACTGACTATTTAAGGCAAAAATGTTAACATTATATCGTGGGGTTTATAAGTATGGGGATGTAAAACATTTGACAATGTGGCATAAAGGAATGGGGTATAAAAGTATACAGGGGCAAGTTTCTTATATTTTACATTAAGTGACACAACATTACTTTAAGTAGAATAAGTTAAATTAAGAATAATTAATAATTAATATAATTAATTATATTAATATTATTAATTATTATTAATTAATAATAAATTAAGAATGCCTATTAAATCCCTTGGGCAGTTAAAATTTTAATACAAGAGAAATAACTAAAAAACCAAGAGAAGAATGCTTAAAAAAATTGGCTAATACAAAATAAGGCGGGAAAAGAAGAAAAGATGGACAAAAACAGATATGACAAGTAGAAAATAAGGCTGGAACACTAGAAATTTACAGATACTGACCTGGTTTGCACACAGATTCTTAATATGTGGCTCTGTCCACAGAAGGACTTAAAAAAGCACCTTAGCCTCAGAACTGCAGACTGAGAGGACCTTAAGGGTCATATAAATCTAGTACTCTCCATAGTCCCTTCCCCCAAATGATGTTTCAGTTTCCCTGACAACAACCTTGCTTCAGCCCCTTGGGTAAAGAGAACCTCACGATCTTCTGAAGAAGGCTGCTCTAATTTTCAGAGTTATAACCACTCGGAAAGTTCTTTATTTCTCTTCAACTGAACCCTGCCTTCCTCTAGTTTCTATTTTGTGCTTTTTTTTTTTTTTTAAACATCTTTACTGGAGTATAATTGCTTTACAATGGTGTGTTAGTTTCTGCTTTATAACAAAGTGAATCAGCTATACATACACATATATCCCCATATCTCCTCCCTCTTGCGTCTCCCTCCCACCCTCCCTATCCCACCCCTCTAGGTGGTCACCTAAATAGACATTTCTCCAAAGAAGATATACAGATAGCCAACAAACACATGAAAGGATGCTCAACATCACTAATCATTATTTTGTGCTTTTAAGTGAACTTTTTTCTTTTTGGTTGCAATATATTTTATCTGTTTGTTTGTTTGTTTTTTTGAACACTTTAGGAAATTCATTTGGACAAATTTTCAGTGTATTTCAACTCTAAACTGTGGCCAGTTAAGGAAGAGACAGACGTGGGGAGCCAGAGAGAAGGGGGAAAGAAGGAAGAGGTATTAAAGAAGACAGATTACACAAACCTACACTCAGTGATGAGACAGAAGGTTCAGGAGCAGAGATTGAGAAACCAGGGGGCCCAGTGAGAGAGGGTGAGAGAATAAGAGTGAGAATGAGAGAGAATTAAACAATGGGTTACAACAGCAGAAAGCCATTATGTACTTTAATTCTTATCTAAAATTTAAATAAGAGTATTTTTCAAACCCTCACTCTCACTTTTGATGAAGAATAAAATCTATATCCTATCTCTGAAAACTAAAAGAATTCATATTAATTGACAAGAGAAGGGAGGAGGGGTCTTCTTTTACAGAGAATTATTCTCAGCTATTTCTTTTTTTCATGTACTGCTACCAAAGATTTTTACAGTCATGTTGTATTTTCACAGCTACAACCACTAATGATAATATTTCTGTGGTTGTCTGGTAAGTAAGAAATAATTACCATAAATCTAAGGGCTAATTCCAAAGGGAGGATTCAGTATCTGTAATAAATTTAAAGTAGGTTGATTGGTTTGAACCAAAATTAAGGTTTAACTTTTCTCAAAATCACTTCCCTGTCAAATATGACATCTTCCATTCTATAGAGTTATCATGTTTATTTTTCAAAAATTGGATCCCTTGACTTTCTACCATTTCTCCAATATAAAACAGATTTCTACAACAGTTAAGCAGCGGAAGTTGATCTTTTAGCTCTATTGAGTTTATTTGGAGTAGTCTAACGGAAAAGAACCAACAGCAGACTTGAAGTATTAAGAGTGAGTATAGACTTGCATTCTCTCCAATCTGGTATCACTCATTACCTCACCAAGTTTCAGGTCCATTATCTGTACAACTGACAGTTTGGACTAGACCTCGTCAAAGTTAAGTTAACAACTGGTAGAAATGGGTTGATGGCTCATTTGGGGGTGAGCAATGAAACTCTCTTCATATCTCTTCAAATCAGTAGCAGCAAAGAAAAAAAATCTTCCGGACACTAACATTTCTTTCTTTCTCCCAGCCTAGAACGTTCAACGTTCAAAGGTCATTTGCTCACAGGCAGTCAGTCACCTTTTGAAGCCTTAGAGGCCAAAGTAGCCAATGCCATAATGTATGAGTTCTTTTTACCTCAGTGCTCTGTGTTCGAATATCTCAACTCAACGCACGCTTAGTAGCGTGACAGGGTGGAAATGTGTAAGACTCAGCTCTGTATCCTACAGATTGGTACTTTTAGAGGTGGAATTTAGACAGTTACTCAAAATTGTTACTGACTGCAAATAAAACACTGTAGGATAACACTGAACAGCTAACCAAACTTAAGAATAAGTCAACATTCTGGAAAAAACACTACAGTAAAAAATGTGATTGGGAGTGAAAACAGAATAGTATCATTTTCAACTTAGCTCCAAATAGATTGATGTCAGCTTTGTTCTTAGCACTTCTGTACTAAGCACTGGTAATCTGGTCACTTGAACCCAAAAGCTAGAAAGTGTTCCATACGTATCAATTTTCAGCTAGCTCAACATGCTGAGCATGGAGGTTGAAGGAAGCATTTAGAAGAACCCGTCTACCAATCCTAAAAGCCCTGGAAAATAAAAGCACAGGGTACTATGTGAAGACACTGTATACCTAAGACATACCTACAGATATGTCTACAGGAACTGACAGTGGTGGTATTGCTCATCCAGTGTCCTCAGATTGGAAAATTATTTCAGAAAGCTTCTCTGGAAATGTGCGTGCATGCGTGCGTGTGTGTGTGTGTGTGTGCGTGTGTGTGTGTGTGTGTAAAATCTTATAAATAATCACATTAACTTTCCCTCTTTACATCTCTATCCCCATATAAAGTCTGAGAATTCACGAGGTTCTAGTATCTTCCAGCATTTTTACATTGCATGAGGTGCTTTAGAAGCTATCGATTTTCAGAATTATTTTAAACATCATTCCTGAAAGTATCTTTATACAAGGAGTTTAGCCATTGATAAAGGGTAAAATGAGAAAGGTAAAATCAGGTCGTATCCAAATTACCTCCTCATTCCCTAAAGCTGAAGACAAGATTAAAGATTTACCAAAATTCTCCCTTGGTTATTAGCAAAGGAGTGGAGATGAAAACCTTGCTATCTCTTTAAGAAGCCTAAAAGTAGTACTTGTTTAAACTTCTTGAAGTTATTCCAAAACTGTCTTTCATCATGCTGAGGTCAAGTCACCTTCTCACATGGGATTATTTTCTATTTCAGGTATAAGCTTGAAAGTTAAAAAAAAAAAAAAAAAAGGTCTCTGAAGAGAAAGTGAAACAGACAGGCTTTTTGTTATTCTAAAGTGTACTGTCATGGAAAATTCCAGTGTCACCATTATGACAATAGGTACATTTTGGAGGACAGAAATCTACTGCTTCTTCATAGCTGAATATTTATATTGTTAGCTGAATAATTATTATATTCTTGTTCCTAAGGTATGAAATAATGAATTTCAAGGAAATGGGAAAAGATTATTTTGATTATATCAATGTTGGAAGCTGGGACAACGGAGAATTAAAAATGGATGATGATGAAGTATGGGCCAAGAAAAGCCACATCATCAGATCCGTGTGCAGTGAACCATGTGAGAAAGGCCAGATAAAGGTAAAGTGGAGTCTGTGTTTCTTTAATTTTTGTTGTAAGTTCAAAAGTATTCATTAGCATTGACTGTTTTTAACAAGTTTAGATATTTGTTTTGCCTTTTCCACTGTAAGCTTCTAATTTTTAGAAGAAATTTTTTTTTAATTCTTTTCTCATTAATTCCTTGTGATATCTAGTAAAACCCACAATAGTCTTAGTAGTTGGACTGGCTGAACCAATTGATGAGTCATGCCCACACCCTTTCTACTCATGTAGGCCTTTAAAGACATGCTTCCTGGGAATAAATAGTTCACAGCTGGAAACTACATCAATTTCTAACTAACTTAAATATATACCCAACTCCTACTAATGTAATAGTTTACATTACAAAACTATTTGTTTATATTACAAAACTATTTGTTACTTAATTTACAAAAATAAGTCAGACACATTTACTCTTAGAAGATTTATAGCGTAGATGAAGAAAAATATCATGGGCACAGATAAGTAATGTCATGTAAAATGTGATGACTTCATTAAGAAAGAAAAAAAAGGGAGCTAAATAAGTTCATACAAAAGAAAGAGACAGGGACTTCCCTGGTGGTGCAGTGGTTAATAAGACTCCACACTCACAATACAGGGGCCCCGAGTTTGATCCCTAGTCAGGGAATTAGATCTCACACGCATGCCACAACTAAGAGTTTGCATACCACATCTAACTAACCTGCATGCCACAACTAGGGAGCCCAGGAGTCGCAACTAAGCAGCCTGCCTGCCGCAACTAAGACCCAGCACAACCGAATAAATAAATATATATTTTTAAAAATGAGTTACTATATGTCAAATAGTACAGTGCCATGTACATGGTGCAGTAAAGGTGCAATAAAAATTTTTTTTTAAAAAAGGGACAGATTTCTTCTGAATAAAATGTCAGACACTGAAACATGAAAAATGGATATGACTTCAGAGAGAGATGGAGGGAAATGAGCGTTTATGTAGAGGGAATAATAACAGGAAAGGTACAGAAGTAGTCAGACTGTTCTGGAATAACAGTGAATAATCTAGGGGGCGTTGCTCTAAATGGTTATTATAAAAGAGAAAGTTGCAATGATAGATTGAAGCCACATTTGCGGAGAGTTTTGGATGCCATACTAAACAGGCTGAACTTAATTTTTTATTAGCCAGGAGTCTGAGAATAATTTTGACCAAGATGCTGACATATAATAGGTGAAGATGCATGGGTAGAGTTATGAAACATAAATAAAGAAAGAAGAGACAAGTTAGAAGGACACTGTGATAGTGGTGAAAAGGTCCCTGAATTATGGAAGAAACAGTGAGAATGGAAAGGGGGTAGGGGAGGTATTTGAAAGAAACATTATAGAGGTAGCCTCAATCAGCCCTGGCTATCAACCACAAAGCCTAAAGTATTTACTATCTGGTCCTCTGCAGAAAAAGGTTGCTGACTCTTAATATTCAGTGACGGTCTGCATCTTGGCCAATCATCTTGCAGTTAAACACTTCATGTGAAATTCTTTTTAGACTCACTTAGAATATCAATTATTCATAATTTCCAGTTCTTCCCAGAGAAAGATTAGTCTGTATAAATTACTACATGGAAGTTGTCTCTGTTTTGACCCTTCACAGAAATATAGTTTGAACCTGTAACTTCAAAATATTGAATGTTGGGCTTCCCTGGTGGCGCAGTGGTTGAGAGTCCGCCTGCCGATGCAGGGGACATGGGTTCGTGCCCCGGTCTGGGAAGACCCCACATGCCGCGGAGCAGCTGGGCCCGTGAGCCATGGCCGCTGAGCCTGCGCGTCCGGAGCCTGTGCTCCGCAGCAGGAGAGGCCACAATAGTGAGAGGCCCGCGTACCGCAAAAAAAAAAAAAAAAAAAAAAAGAGAGATTTCTTTATATATAGTTTTCTACCCCCTTCTCCTGGGAATAACTTACCCAGTGGAAGAATCTGACTCCCTATTATCATATTTTCAATACTAGTTAATTTGTTATAATAGTTATAGAGTCTTTTTTTAATCCCAAATTCTATTCTCCTAACCAGATCTCATTTTCACTCCGTTAACTATAGAATTGACTACATTTTCTTGATATGGTTTAATAAGGTCACTGAACAGCTTCACTAATGATATCAACACATCACAGAATTGTTCAGATTTGTTAACTCAGTGCCCACGAAAGGACACTTAGTCTAGCAAAGGTTCAAATACATAACATACTGTTATTCATAAAGAAAGCATCACTACTTCCAGGGTGCTTTTTTACACTTTTTTTTTTAAATTTTATTTATTTATTTATTTATTTATTTATTTATTTATTTATTTTTGGCTGCTTTGGGTTTTCATTGCTGTGCGCAGGCTCTCTCTGGCTGCAGCGAACATGGGCTACTCTTTGCTGCAGTGCTCAGGCTTCACATTGCAGTGGCTTCTCTTGTTGCAGAGTGTGGGCTCTAGGTGTGTGGGCTTCAGTTATTGTGGCTCGTGGGCTCTAGAGCACAGGCTCAGTAGTTGTGGCGCACGGGCTTACCTGCTCCATGGCATGTGGGATCTTCCCGGACCAGGGCTCAAACCAGTGTCCCCTGCATTGGCAGGCGGATTCTTAACCAGCGCGCCACCAGTGGAAAAAAATGGAAATTAATCTGAAAGAGAACTGTCACCACCTCCTGTATTCAAAATGAGTGTGAAACAGAACATAAATAACAAATGAAAAAAAGTAAAACAAATCAGTTCTGAATGATCAGAAGAAGACAGTAAGTTGTCACTATTTATTCAAAAAAAGATTGTAATATTGGAATTAATCTTGGAAAAGGGCATGAGCTTACTCTGGTAAAAAAACTGAAATTTACAAAGCAATGCAAATTGAATCACAGAAAGTTAGCACATTTCTAAGAGGAAAAACGCAACTGCTTTTGTTTGCCAGGCTACTAAGAAAGAATCCTTCAGCATTTGAAATGTGTCTCCTTGCATTACAAAATCTAGTTAACTGTCCAATGACAGTTTTACCAAGTGTGGTTGAAGTAACCCTGAAAATGAAATTCATGTCTCTATATGGATACTTAAATGTATATTACTAATAAAACAGTTAATATTTTTAAAGTGTTCTACAGTTTCCAAATCATTATGATATTCTGTTTAATCCTCAGGTAACTCTATAAAGGCGGGTATTATTTTAAAAGCATTAGTCTCGGTTGGATGAAACAGGATCAGCTGGGAGACTGCTCAAGGCTGCACATTATTTAGTGGCTCTAAGTAAGACTAGAACCTTGGTGCCCCTTGATTCTCAAGCCAGTATTCTTTCCTCCGCATATTTCAAAATATCACAAACTCTATCTTTATACAGACCAATAAGGCTCAATATTTATAAGCATGACCACGAAGTCCAACAGGCATTATTTGATCCCTCGTTCACCCACGTGTTGTGTGAAATCACTACGCCTTAGTTTTCCTCCCTAAAAAAATGAAGAAAATAAAACCAACCACCTTATACAGAGCTGTTCCAATGTTTCAATGAGATGACACGACATGGCATGCACTGAATCACCAGCAAACAGTCAACATTCTTATGAAGAATGCTTTCAATAGATTAAGCAGGTCTAATTAGCAATTTTACCTAATTGATCTGGTTATTTTAGGGAAAGGATGTTTCAGGCCCTTTTGTCATCATTTCCTACTTGTATTGTTGCGATGTCAAGAGCCAGCACAGGGGACAGTACAAAACAGAAGGGGGGGGCTTCCCTGGTGGCGCAGTGGTTGAGAGTCCGCCTGCCGATGCAGCAGACACGGGGTCGTGCCCCGGACCGGGAAGATCCCACATGCCGCGGAGCGGCTGGGCCCGTGAGCCATGGCCGTTGAGCCTGCGCGTCCGGAGCCTGTGCTCCGCAACGGGAGAGGCCACAACAGTGAAAGGCCCGCATACCGGGAAAAAAAAAAAAAAAAAAAACAGAAGGGGGGGTGGCCAGCCTACAACCTGTATTTGGCTATAGATATCTAGACATTATTATCGAAGGTCATTAATAGAGTCAGCTTCTAAGACAAGGATATGAAGTGTAACCACTGCTGCGTCTGGTTATTAATCAGAGTTTTAATTATTTATAGGAATGTTTAATGAATGCTGTCTCTATTCCACAGAAGCTATTCATGCACCAGTGGTGGAAAAAAAATAAAAGACATCCATTTCTAAAGAATAATATCTAGGACTCTTTCAACTGTTAAATTATTTCAATTATTTTCCATGGCCTTAAAAAAATTAAACACATGAAGAGGTATATAATAGTCTCAGTGACCTTAACCATCCTTATCCCAAGCAAATCAAAACTACTACAATAGGAAGGAATGGGCTGAATTATTGAACCAGATTTTTAGTAGAAACAGTCTAAGAGGTGATCTCCAGAAAAAAACTTCATCTTCTGCCTCTTAATTCAAAATAAATTCCTAATTATTTTTTATCAATATGGATATATTTTTGAACTTTAGCAGGTATGCAATGTGGGTTTTTTGGCTAACAATTATTCAGCTAGTGGAGGCAAGCCAAGGTAAATCCAGAGGGCAAAAGTTCTTAATCTGAAGCAAAGAAAGGCACAAACTCTGGGAAAAATTCAGTTACATACACACATACAGAAATGTATATATATTTACATGTGAGCACAAACACAGACGCTTAATACAGGTATCTAAAGCTAATTACCAAAGATTTGCACTTAATTTCATTCTTGAGCCTGTCACCAACAAATTTTATGATGTTGGACTGGTTGCTTAAACTCAGCCTGTTTCTTTAATTATAAAACGAGAATATTAATACTTACACTGCCTATCCGAAAACATTTGAAATAACTTACGTGAAAGCCCCCTTCTGCTTTGTAAAGCAGTACATTTGAATAAAGGATTGCTGGATTTTTATCTATGTGAAAAACTAATCAAAATTTTAAATATTTGCCTTAGGTGATCCGGAAGGGAGAAGTCAGCTGCTGTTGGACCTGCACACCTTGTAAAGAGAACGAGTATGTCTTTGATGAGTACACCTGCAAGGCATGCCAGCTGGGGTCCTGGCCCACTGATGACCTTACAGGTACATGTATCACAATGTCAGCACAGGTATATCCCCCAAAATCAACTCAAAAAGGACACAGATGTGGGAGGAGGCGGGGTGACATCTCCAAGCATTTCTCGTCTTGGTGGAATTGTTTATGCAACAAAGAATTCCCTTAGGAACAGATGCCTTCCCAACACCTGGGCTAATCATGAAAATCTTTAGATCGCTCGGAGAAATCGGCCTATATTCCTGCCCTCACCCCCAAACTGCATCAGAATCCTTAGGTTTTCTACTGGGCATTTTTAGTCCATCTTCAGGATATTCCCAGAAGTTCCTAAGCAGGGCCCCAGTTAACTGCGATTTGAGGTGTAGAGAGAGACGTATTAGAGACTAATACGGAAGAGACTAAAATATGCCATGACATATCCAAGAACAAAAAGGTAGCACAGAATTAGGTAGAATTTGGTCTAAAATTCTTTGTTTCTCTTACTGCTTTTCCTTAATCTAAACTAGAAACTTCCAACTAATAAGTTTTCAAATAATGTCAACACAGGGTAAGGCTCATCTCTGCTTGGTTTGGGGGCAGTTTGGGGAGGGGGGTTACTTTTTTTGTTTGTTTCTGTGATGTTCTGGTTTAGGAGTTTTGTCCTCCAAAAATGTGAAGGAATTATAGTCATTGTGTTCTCAGTATGATATTTCATAGCTATTTCTAATCTTTACATTATGAAAACAGGATACCTTCCATCTTTCCTTCCAATTCCTTCAATAAACATTTAGCAAATGCATATTAGATGCCTATTTGCCTACCACCGATATAAAGATGTAAAAATGAAGATATGCCCTCTATTGTCAAGAAGTTAATGAGGGAGGTAAACAGTAAAAATGTGATTACAATAAAGGACACAGGTTTGTGGACATGGAGTATGAGGAGGGGACCTGTGAAACTAAGTTTTCCAGGGAAATAAGAGAAAAAGACATTCCAGGCAGAGGGCCCACCACGTGGTATGTCAGGTCACCTAGTGGTTTTACAGTTGAGGTGGATTAAGCACAAACTCCTAGAGGCTAGAGAATTATAACGTCATCAGTGTTAGACTCAACCCCTCATAGGACAAGAGATTATCCATGGTAGTTGTATTAGCTTATTCCAAAAACCTGGTTCTAAAAATCCTGTGATTCTGGGCCTTTTGAGGCCAGCTCACATTAAGACTTGTTTTCAGTGATTGGTATTTATGCAGAAGACATTCCTTTTCTTAAAAAAAAAAAAAATTCAAACATTCTGATTTAATAAAACACCCAAGTACCTCGTGATAACATTTGTGTCCTATTTTCACCGTTAGATGATAAGCTTTCTGATACTCATACATCCTGCTATCCCCAGAGCCAAGTCAGTGCTGAACACAAAGTCTTTAATAAATTTAGTTTACAGATAAACTAAAGCACACACACGCACACACGCACGCACACACACACATACAGTAAAAATGTAAGAAAGAAAAAAATATGATTGGTTCTCTTGTGAGGGAAATGAAGAGCACTTTTGGTGACCTTTTCCTTTATACTATTTGTTTACTTTTTTCTAATTTGATTTCAATATGGATTATCATTAAACTGAAAAACTATTTCACAGATTCAACTATCCACATGGCTAAGCACCTTGAACGTGAATATGCAGATGTAATTTTTTGTCCTATGTTTTGTAAAACTATCACAGTGAACATGGTCTGCTTTTTCATTCATTCAACAGAAAAGTATTTTATCATTACTATTTGCACTATAATAATAGGTGCTGGAGAAATTGGGGTTAAAAATAGACATGGTTCTTATATCACTTACCATCTTGTTGGGAGAGACATTTCTCTCTCTCTCTCTCTCTCTCTCTCTCTCTCTCTCTCTCTCACACACACACACACACACACACACACACACACTCTCTCTCTCTCTCTCTCTCTCTCTCAGACACATACAGACAGGCATGGACAAATTGTGTTAAGTAGTATGAAGTAAAAGAATAAGAGTAAAAAAAAAAATGAAAATATTAGGGGAGACATAATTTAAATTTGTGGTCATAAAAGATCTCTGAAGAAGTGAAGATTAGCTGAGACCTAAATGATAAATACAGAAATAGCTATCAAAACATGATGAGAAGGGCATTTCTTACTGAGGCAAAAGCATATGTGAATGGATAAGCCAATGGAAAAACCATGTCAGAAGAGATCAGAAAGGTAGCAGGGGCTAAATCATATACTGTATAGCCTTGCAGAACAGGTTCAGGATTTGAGTGTTTAATACCAAGTACAATGAGAAGCCTTTGCAGGGACTGTAGCAGAAGAAGAAAACATGATTGGATGTATAATTTTAAAACATTACTCTGGTTACTGTGAGGGAGAATAATTTGGATAGGGATGGAAAGTGGAAGCAGGGAGAAAGGCAGGATGGTTACTGCAGGTTGCCACTGCAGGCACCAAGAGCTCTTGGTATCTTGGGCTAAACAGTGCACTGGAAGATTTCAGATATACTTTGGAGTAGAACCAACAGGACATACAGATGAATCGGTTGCAACAGATATTAAGTAAGGCTACCAAATCTTCTGCCTTGAGGAAAATTTGCGTTCTTTGATAAGGATCAATAGTTGGGTTTTAGACAAGATCAGCTTGAGATGTCTTTGAGATCTTCAAGTACGAATGAATTAATTTAACAAATTAAGGCCTTTGTTTGTGCCAGAAATGTAACAGAAACTGGAAATGGAAAATTCAGTCTAAGTTTCCAAGAAACTTATGATCTAGTAGGAGAAAAGCATATAAATAAGTAACCATGCAGTAGACCCAGTGCTGTAGGTGAGAAATGAGCAAAGTATTACGGAAAAATGGAGAAGGGCACACCTAACCCTGGAGAAATTAGAGAAGGTTTAGTCTTGAGGCATAATCTTTAAGCTCATTTTCTAAGAAGTGAAGAAGATCCTACTGGGAGAAGTGTGCAGCGCTGAGGCTATGAATGGCACCATCATCCTCCTAATTTCTCCAAACAAAAAGAAGTGAGTCATCCGAACTCCTCTCTCTTCTTGGCAACCCGTATCCAGTCACTTAGCAAGTCTGCCTATTTGCATTGCTAAATATTCTCCCTCCTTGCTCTCCATTTATCGGTACAACTCATCCCTTGACTAAGTTATCATCTCACATTTGACTATTGCAGTAATTCCCCAGTTTATTTCCCTACTCCCAAATTTATGCCACAGGCCTCCAAGTTTGTTTTTCATCTTGCTACTAGATAATGTATCCAAAAGACAGATGTGTCCCTTGCATTTCACTGCTCAACACTGACCAGTGTTTTCATATCTCTGTGGGATATGTCCAAGTTTTTCAACATGGCATACAAAATTCCCTCTCTCCCTCACCCTCCTATGATCTTTCTAATTTCAATCACCACCACTTTATAAATCTCATTTGACACTCTAGTATCAAGGGCTGCATATAATTCTCATCCACACACAATGCTATTCGACTCCTCTATGTCCGTACAGGTGTTACCTTCCTTGCCTGGAATGCACTTACTCCACTTTGTTCACCTTCACCTTACTCCACTCCTGCTCACCTTCCTTCCTCAGCCCAGATGTCACCTTCTCTATGATACCTTCTTTGTGGTACTTAGACTAGTAAGTCCTCTATTCTGTATTTCTTAAGCAAATTCTGCTTCCCTCTTTACATCATTTTCGAACTGGATTTTAATGGCCTATATCCTTATCTGCATCCCCTACTGAATCATTAGTTTCTCAAGGACGTAACCATATCTCAATCACCTTTGCATTCCTGGCATCTAACACAATGCCTGACACAGAGTAGGCACTCAGTAAATGAGTGTCGATCTGCAGTAAATGAAGACGGAAGTAAGTATTAGGGCCATGCTCTGAAGACAGCCTTGAACTAAGGAGTCTGGACTTTATCCTATAGACAAGTGTGAGGCCAGTGAAGATTTTCAAACAGAAGAATGAAATGATTTTCTCTGGCTACATGCATACATGTGAGTGTGTGTGTGTAGATGTGGGAGGGGAAAGAAAGTGGGAGGGGAGAAGGGAGAATAAATACCAAACCTAAAAAGGGCTCCACATTGATAGTATGTGAGATTTAACCTTTCATTAAGATCTCCAGCACTTTTCCAAAGACCCTATAGCTGTTTGCAGCCCATCTCATTGACTCTGATTCAAAGTAACTTGGCATTTGGCACTGCTAGCTAAGCCAGAAGACTGCTCTGATGGCTTCAGCTATTCCAAAGCCTGCCACAGAGATGCTTGGGGCTGGCTTCAGAGGGTACTGTAAGTCTTTCTTCTACCCAACTGGCTTACAGTTACCCCACTTCAGCCTATAACGTGACAGCTCAGGTCACTTTGGGTCAGTGCCCCCATTGTGATAATGGCAACTAACACATACATGTTTCCTGTGTGCCAGGAACTCGCTGAAGCATCTTACAAATGTTAATTCATTCGATCCCAGCACAGTTCTATAAGATTGTTAGCACAGTTAGAAATCTTAGAATTGAACAATTGTTTAGAAAAACAACTAGGAGTGGCAATCAACTGACATTAATGTCTATATCATATTTAGCCATTTACTTTAATATATTCATAGAAAGATGTCTGAAATGAACATTACCTTAAGAAAAAATGTTTATGAGTGGTGAGATTGCGAGTTACTTTTTTGCACACACACATACACACACACATATGTGCGTATAATATTGAGTTATATTAAGAGTATGTATTTTCATCAGTATATCCATTAAAATAAATTTTAAGCTAGCCATATTTTTAATAGCCATCATAAATTGGCAGGAATTAAGAAGAGAAAGAAAGAAAACCAGGCATGAAAACCAGGAAGGAAATAAAGAAGATTTTAAATGGAGGATGAGGGCAGAACCTAACAATATTCCTAATTCAAATTATTTTCATTAAGTACAGTAAGTAGTTATTCTTTCTCTAACAATCTTCAGGTATCCATGTTAGCAGTGAATAGGATAAACAGGACCCCTGCCCTCAAAGTGATTAT